AGGGTGGTGAAGCACTGGAATGGGTTACCTAGGGAGGTGGTGGAATCTCCTTCCTTAGAGGTTTTTAAGGTCAGGCTTGACAGAGCCCTGGCTGGGATGATTTAGTTGGTGTTGGTCCTGCTTTGAGCAGGGGGTTGGACTAGATGACCTCCTGAGGTCCCTTCCACCCTGATATTCTATGATTCTATGCGTAGAGAAGGCCTTACACTGGCTGCTGCAGACAAGGTTTAGCGGTACTCTCTCAAAGCGCAGCTACTATGAGGAAAACTAGTCTCGTTCATAAGCCACCAACCATTCTTTGCCAACCCCCTGCGTGGTTATGGACTGGGGAAAGGTCATAGCACGTACCATTCTCTCAGCCTTCCTAACAGCCAACCTTTGTCCAATACCATGGAAGGCAGCATAGCTTCCATGTGTGTATTGTTCACAACATGACACGTTTACTGAGCACCAACACTACACGGGTGATCTCACAGCATTCTCTGTGCTCCGCTATATACAACGAATCTTCAGCCCCTGGGTCTGAGAGAGGCAGAACCTATGTCCTTCAGGGCATGCTGCAAAGCCTATGCATTTCCCCAGGGGTGAGGTTATAGGCAGGTAGGTGAGCGGTGGGGAAAGGCTAGGCTGGGGTTAGGCTTCACTGTGGACATCGCTCTAATTTGTAACTTATCATCAACACACCTGTCCCTGCAGCTAGAGTTCTCCTACCCAACGCAGCTCTCAGTCAATGTCCATGGAGGCCTCCCCCGCCCGCCCTCCTTTCTGCCTCCCTTGCTCATGAACACCTCCATGTTAGGCTACGATTTAGTCAAGGGTATTTTTAGTAAAAGTCATGGGCCGGTCACGGGCAATAAACAAAAATTCACAGCCCCGTGACCTGTCCATGACTTATACTATAAATACCCCTGACTAAACCGGGGGGTGGGGGGGCTGTCAGTGGCACCAGCTGCCGGGGGCCACTGGAACATCACCTTGGGGACCACCAGCAGTGGCTGCTCCATCCATCCCGGAGCCGCTGCTCGGCAGTACTGGTGCCAGCTGCCCAGAGCAGAGGCTGGTGTGGCTGGCCCTGGGGCCGCCCAAGCGGCTAGCTGCAGAGCTGCTCCAGCAATGGCAGGTCCCGGGGACAGCTACTTGGGCGGCCCTGGAGTCAGCCACACTGGCCTCTGCAGAAGTCACAGAGGTCGTGGAAAATCACGGAATCCATGACTTCCGCACCCTCCAGGACTGACACAAAGCCCTAGTTATCTGCAAGGGCCCTCCAGCCTCTTTGCCGAGCCCCCTCCCTCACTTTGTTCCAGTCCCTCCTACCATTTCACCTTAACAATATGAGGGGTTCACGTTCACGTTATGAAAGGATCACCAAATCATCAGGACATGGATGCCCCTCAAGCAACCTCGAGACCTTCGCACTCAAGTCTCTCCCTTTGCTGGTTTGTGACTGTTTTCTGTGTCATTGATAATTTACATGGCACCGCCTTGGGGTGGAGATTACACCTTTGTTTTTGTGAAACACCAACACACTGCTGGGTGCTCAGAAACTATGCAACAACAAACAGAGGATTCAATGAATTACTTAAGATGTCACCATTTTGAGACAGGACCGTCACCTGGTCACCAGTGTATTATACACCTGTTGTGCCTATCTACAGATGCCCAATGGGGCAGCAGCTGCCTGTCTGTTTTGTGCTGTGGCACGCACAGATGGGAATCAGGAAATAACGACTAATATAAAAAGGGCAAGTGGAAGAGTAAACTGACATGAACAGTAAACACACGGCAAAATTAGTGGAAAGTAAACTCAAATTCTAGAATTCTTGCGGTTATAATTGATGGTGGTTTTGTAACACTGGCTGCTGGATCGGACTTCTGCCCCACAACGCAGATTGGTGGATCAGGTCGTTTCAAGGGAGGACAAAATAAGTAAGATTTTATTTTCACTGCCACCAAATAACCTTTATTTGAAGGTGTTTTAATTTACAGTTGCTCTCTGGACGATGAAGACAGTTGTGTTGGACCCTATTTGCCCCCTCAGTCCCCTGGTTTATTACTACTCTGATTTCAAATAAAGCTGTCTGCACAAGGTGGGGGAGAAAACAGACATTTTATTTAGAGGCTAACGCTAGAAATGGGCTAAATACACATATAGAAAAATAGAAAAGGAAAACTGAATCAGGCTTGAAACAAAAGGTACTGTAAAATCTTTACATACAGGAATTAAAAATCTAGTATTGTACTGAACTGTAGGTGATAAACACAACAAAACCACAGGGGTTCCTCTGCCCTTGTCTCTGCATTAGCACTGGAGATGCTATCCCTTGTTAAAGTTGTAGTTACCATTCCCTTTGATCTAAGCATTCGGCCGTCCACTCCACACACTAACCAGACCAGAGCTTCCCATCCAGGCTACCGTAAAGCTCTCTTTTGCTCTGAGAAGGGACTATGTAAAATTGGCCTCGTGGAGGTTCCATGCTCATTGTGTCTCAAGGACTCTCTATTAAATTTGCTGAGATTAATGCTGCTTTCCTAATGGCCAAAACTGCAAGACCCATAGATTCCAAGGCCAGAAGGCACAATTGTGTGGACCTCCAGTAGAACAGAGACCAGAGAACTTTCCCAAAATAATTCCTAGAAAAAACATCCAGACTTGATTTAAAAGTGCTAATGATGGAGAATCCACCATAACCCTTGGGAAATTGTTCCAATGGGGGATTACGCTCATAGTCAAACATTTGCCCCTTATTTCCAGTCTGAATTTGTCTAGCTTCAGCTTCCAGCCACTGGATCATGTTATCCCTCTCTCTGCTAGACTGAAGAGCCCATTATTAAATTCCTGTTCCCTATGTCGATACTTCTAGACTGTAAACAACTCATCCCTTAACCTTCTCTTTGTTAAGATCAATAAATTGAGCTCCTTGAGTCTGTCACTATAAGGTATGTCTTCTAATTGATTACTCATTCTTGTGGCTCTCCTCTGAACCCTCTCCAATTTATCAACATCCTTCTTGACATCAGTACTAGACACAGTAGTAAAACAGTGGTCTCACCAGTTCCAAATACGAAAATAAAATAACCTCTCCACTCCTATTCGAGATTCCCGTTTATGCATCCCAGGATCACATTAGCCCTTTTGGCCACAGTGTCGCACTGGGAGCTCATGTTCAGCTATTTATCCACCATGGCCCCTAGATCCTTGTCAGTCACTGCTTCCCAGGAGAGAGTCCCCCATATGTAAGAATGATCTAGGTTCTTTGTTCCTAGATACACATTTCTAACCATATTAAAATGTCTATTGTTTTCCTGCACCCAGCTTACCAAGAGATCTAGTGACCTGTCCTCTTCATTATTTTCCACTCCCCCAATTTGTTGTCATCTGCAAACTTTATTGGTGATGATTTTGTTTCCTTCCAGGTCATTAATACAAATGTTAAATAGCGTAGGGACAAGAACTGGATGCCGCTAGAAACACACCCATTCACTGATATTTCCCCATTTACAATTACATTTTGAGACCTATCAGTTAGCCAGCTTTTAAGTCATTTAACATGCACTATACGTTCACTTTATATTTTTCTAGTTCTTTAATCAAAATGTCATATGGTACCAAATCCAATGCCTTACAGCTCACTCTGGGATCTGAAAGCCAAGCTGGGTTCTTTCTGGTTCATGCATCACCAATGGAAATCTGAGTCTGCAGACAAAACTCTACCTCAGCTACATCTGAGCAACTCCACTGAATTTCCTCAGCGTTGTCAAACTTTTCAGAACTATTGGATGATGGGAGCCCCTGCAGACCTCATGAGCTCCTCTACATTCCATCCCTCTGCAGATACCTCCCTCCTGCTTCCCAGACCACCTCACCTGAGCTGAAGCGTCCATCTACCCTCTCTTCCAGATCTAATTCAGCCCCTGCCTCCCACGTGGTTCTCTCCTTCCTGCTCCTCGCCTCACGGACAATATGAATGTCAACACAGCAACATCCATTCCAAAATAGCCCATGGGTTAGGAACTCCACAAGCTTTTAATTAACCTCTTGTAATAGTTAATTAACTCCCACCCTAAAACACAATTGGGGCATCAGCCCTTCTTGAGACCAACAGAACAAAGCAAATGTGGTCACTAGGCTCAACTGTGAGAGAGAAAATGAGCCAAAAACAAACTGTTCAAAGAGCAGAACCTGTTTTCCTCCAGACTTTCTGGAACCGACCTACTCAGTGTAAGAGCAAGTTGTAACCTTTCAGGGAGAGGGTGGAGGTGAAAACCAGCTTATAAGAGACACTCACTTCTCCCTTCACTATGGAGAAGATAATCTCTCCCCACAATATATTTCAGCTTTTAGACCAATAGGTCAAATAAATCATCATGTAATCAAACAACCTCCTCTCTACTCCACACTTTATTGGGAGATGTCTAAGAACACGACATCAGACCCTGCGTGCAGCTAGCTGCCCTCAACGTTCCGTTTAGACCAGTCAATAACATGATGTTTTACATTTGTAAAGTACAGGATTACAGAATGCACACATGCATGCCCCCCCCCCCACACACACACACACTCTCTCTCTCTCTTAGGTGTAAATCGAACTCCTTACCTTGTGAAGAGAACTCAGACTGGGAAGCAAAACGGCAAAGCTCTGATTCTGAATGCATCACATCATTGTTTGGCTTATCACATACATTCAAACTTTTCACAACTAAGTCTAAGTGATTCTCCCAGTCCTGGTCTGTCAGGTCTCCCTCAAGCCCCGGGGAAAGGGTGGGAGGCCTGTGCTCCAGGCACTCCTTTCCCTTTAGTGAAAAGTCACTAGAATTCAGGCCCCCAAAGGCGCCCCTGGAGCTCTCTTCGTCCCTAGATCTATGGACGTGCCGACTGGTTCTAGCACTGCTTTGGTTAAAACGCTGCCATCGCTTCTTGGGTGCTACATGGTTTACATCATTAGACTCATCCCCCAGGGAGCTTTCGCTATTCACTTCTGAATCCAACTCTAGGCCCTCACCATTTTCAGCAGAAGTGCAACTCTCAGTATTTTTATCAGGTTCAGTCCTCTTCCTGATATGATCTAAATTGTCATCAGATGAACATGCAGAGTCTTCATCAGTGGAGTGCTCCATTAACTCAAGAGACTCTTTCCTTGCAGTTTCTTCTATTTCATTATAAACAAGACTAGGAACCAATCCCTGCCTAACCCTGCGTGGGAGGGATGCTTTCTCCGCTATATTACTGGAGACCTGATTTAGAGGCTTGCTCAGCCCTTCTAGCTTTAAATCCTTTCTGACTGATGTTGCATTATCTACTAGCTTGGATGACTGCTTAGATTGTGAACAGTTGTGTCTTGAGATGCAGTTTGTGCCATTCGTACCAGAAAGAGCAGGATCTGTGGGCTCCCTTTTGTTAGTACTCCGCCCAGTTATCTTGGCTGTAGTGCTGCACGAAAAAGAGGATTCACTCGCACTGGGGTTCTGACATGTTGCTTCCAGAACGCAATCCCCATTTTTTTCTAATTTATAAGCGGGTCCTTTTGTACCCAAAGCCTTCAAGCCACTTGCAGAATTACTTCCAGAGGAGCTGCTCATGCCAGCATTTCGATACGGGACCATATTCTGAGCTGACATCAGCTGCTGCTCTTTTGTCTTACTATCATGCATATCTTTCAACATCATTAGCAAGGTGCTGAATTTGTAGTCTGGCTCAATGGGCAAACGACTCTGCCCAGAGGCAGAAGAGAAGAGTAAGGGTGCTGTGGTCTTAGGTGCCCCATAGTCACTAGCTTCATCACCAAGGGACCTAAAGGACAGTTCCTTCAGCTCTGAGAGGACATGCTTCACCACGGCGGTCTCTATTTCAGCAGAATCCCTGGCTCTCTCATGCACATTATTTAATGGTTCCTGACTATCAACTTTCCCGCTCTTGGCAGGTGGACCAGTGAAACCTTTGGTGTCAGAAGAGCAGCAATTCACACCACATTCCTCTTCTAGCAGAGGGGGTTCTGTCCCAGCAGCACTCTCCTTGTGTTTGCTTCTTATACTTATGAGCCGGGGCACTTTGATGTTTTTCAGGTGTAAATTCAGTTGATTTGTAATCCCAGTGTGGGAGCTCTCCCGGCAAACATTCTGGGGTGTAGGGTGCTTATCTGCAAGGGAAAGATGGTCATTTCTCATAGCTGAAGTACACTCCAGAGCAATAACAGGCATCTCAGTGTCCGAGACTGCTCCTTGGAGCTCCCCATCCACAGATTCAGCATCACTTCTGCCACCTATAGGGCCTGCTGGAGTTCTGTGATCTCTAGATGACCTTTTCCTAGCTCTTCTGTTGCTGTTCTGTGAGAGATACATGGAACATTTACTGCTTCCCCTCATCCCTGGAAAGAATTCCTTTTCTTCTTTATCTGCAGAGTCACTAATCTCCAGGGCACTGCAGGCTGCCTCAGAACTTTGGTCCCCGGTATCTAGATCACTAGTCCCATCATCTGAGAAGGAAGTCAGCGAATCGGACTCCGTTTGCTTTTTCTCAATAGAAGTGTCAGCTGTAGAATAGTGTACCTGTAATTTGGAACTGCAAAGAATGCCTACGGGGCTTTTCTCTTTCTCTGTAGAGCTGCTAGAAAGCAAATCCACTTTCAGTGTGTCCCGTAGGGAGTCACCATGAGGAGCCTGATACTCCTGTTTCAAGGTTGTCTTTTCAAAACGTCTTTCTCCAAAAGAAGAGAGCAAGTAGTTTTCCACGGCACCATTGGATGCTGTTAGGCTGTTTGCTATCCGGCAAAGTTCATGTGATGCATGTTTATCCGGCAGGTCCCCAGCAACCCTGTTTCTAATTATGTTCTCTGGTGCCTTTCCTCCAATTTCTCTCCTAGATGCTTCCAGTCTGGTGCTGCTCTTTTTTACTCTAGTCCTTTTCCTGCTGTCTGAGCTCTTTTTCGCTTGTGATTTAGTGCATGACCTTCCCTTCTCCCTGGCTAAGTGTTTGGAGTCAAACGCCAATGATTTAAAACAGCCGTTCAGCTGCCTGTCCAGTTCCATTACAGGGCCATTAGTGCAGGATTCCAACAGCACATCCTCACTGTTCAGCTTGCTGGGATTCTGACTACACTTTTGATCCTCAGTCCCCTTGAGAAGGAATTCTTCCGCATGTCCAACACTGACTTCCCATTTCGCCATAAACCTCTGAGGAACCTGAATGTTTGAGAGGAAACAGAGCGAGGTTACCATCCAATAAACATTCAGCAGAACCATAAAGTGAAACAACACGTAAGAGATGACACTACCCTGCTCTAGTGTATGCAAAATGCAGCAGCAGTCTCCAGGACAGGAGTCCAGCACCTCATGGCTAACATGGCTCCTGGACAGCACATCCATGGAGCACAAATGCCCAGAACTCCAACTGAACCCAACTGAAATCCCCCAGGAACTCCCAGCTGCAGAACTGTTTGGATCACAATACTAGTACATTAATGTCCTGCGTGCTTTCCTAGTGCTATCGAAGCTTCTCCAATAGCAGCCCTACAGTGTTCTCTAATGTGGCACCAACACTCTCAAGCCTGAATCACGTCCAACATCCTTCTTCCAGCAAAGGGGAGAGGGGTGCAATTCCCCCCCAACCTGTCCCTACTCACAAAAGGGGTGCCTGACAGCACTGGCCTCCCAGCATGCATCTAATGCAGCAACCTGCACAGCAGCCAACAGGAAGGAGAATCCGACACGGACCCCCTGCATGGCAGGGCAGAGCACCAACCACTGGGCCATCAGAGGGGCCTCAGCATGCATCTCTCTAAAACATGCCATAAAGAACGCGCTGGTTTGCTCTGTCCTGACCCTTCTTGCTTCCATTTATTTCACACTGCATCTCAACTTGTTCTCCCCACAGCATCCCCCTTCTCTGCCACCCCACGTACAAACCCGCCACTTCCACAGGGATGTGCCTAATCCTGTTCTTTCTGCTTAAAAGGCTCCCAGGATCCATATTGAGTTTTATACCCTTAACACAAAAAAAGGTGCCCAGGGCATTGGACAGGCGCATCCTGTAGGTGCCTGACTGAACACCAGTCGTTTTAAAGAAGCCTGGCTTTCAATCAGGGTTTGTTGCTCTTAGCTGAGCAACGACAAACTGTAGGTTTTTCATTACTACTCCTGAACCAAAATGAACCCCAGGTCACGGGAGCAGTCTGAATTCCCACCACTTTAAAAGAAAAGGGTGATCTAGAGAATCTCAGCGGACTAAAGAATGGCAAGTAACCCAGTGGCACAAGGCAGCCAGATCCTTTGCTGCTTTGCGGGAGACCCTGGCGGGCAACCCCCTTGCTGATACAAATCCAGAATATCAAGTAGGCAATGTGTCTGGTTTACAAAGGTGCAGCCATGCCAGCACTACACCCCAGCAATTCACAGAACTGGACTCAAGCCATGGACCTCCTGCGTCTTGGGCACAGAGCTAACAGACACGAGGCTGGGAACAAAGGGCGAGAACTGCAAATGCTGAATGAAGAGGTGAGGAATATCCCCCACACAAAAGGAACGAGGAGAAGGGAAAGCGTAAGAGTAGTGAATCCTCTGGTGCTTTTTACTACAATCACCCAATCACTTACACTGAGACAATTACATCTGTCCCACTAACAAAGCAGCCACTACTGTCAGCAGTTAAACCATCAGTATAAGATACAACTGCTTCCCTCTGGCTGCTCACTTGCAACCATCCAGTGGCCTTCTGTATTCCTTCACTTTAATAATGCTGAACTGGTGAATTTCTTCAGTCATCTTTATAAGGTTGCAGGGCAGGAAGCTTGTATTATATTATGTTGTACAAAGGCATGTCTGCTCCAGGGTTGTACCTTTGAAATAGAGGCTGCTTCACGAGCAGATGATGTGCTTGACTATGCAACTCCCTCCCAAAGTATGATCGGTGAGGCACTTTCTAAGTCAAATCAGGAGGAACTCTAAATGCTTATACAACCTATTACAGAAGCAGGGCTCAAAACACGGTTATTGTATTTTATGTAGTGGTCTAATACAGAATGGAAGCATGGTCTGTCCCCGAGTCAGCCAGGAGAGGTCACTGGAGAGCAAAGCAAGTTACTTCCAAATGCACACTTTTAATGATCATAACTGATATTTCACATCAATAGAACTGTACTATTGAATAAAACAGATAGATAGTGAGTATGTCAAACTGTGACAACTTCTCCACCTCTCCGAATACTCTCTATGGTAACTTACAAACTACAGACCATGCCCTTAAATAAGAGCAAGTCTGGAAACTCCTTGTGGCTTAAAAACCTCTGATTATCACAGGAATTTTGCAAATCCATTTACCAGCTGTGCCCTCACAAGTATCACTCCACAAAAACATTTTTAGGGTGCGTTTCCAGACATACAAGAACAATTCGACTGTGCAAACGCAAGCTACTCTTTAATCTCAGAAAAGAGTGAGCAAACCAAGCTATCAAGAACAGAAGCTTTACCTTGTGCTTGTAGCCTTTTTCTTTTTGCTTCCCTCTTCTCCGAAGGACAGGTAGCTCTTCAAACTGATATCTGCCTTCAAAAAGTACAATAGCTTTTCCTGCAACCCAGGCTTTCTCAGAAGGGTCTCCTAAGGCATCTACGTAGTACTCTCGATATGGTCTCCGATTGGAAACTATTTAAAGAAATTAAACAGGATTATTGTCTTGCTTAAAACAGTATACTAGTGTGGGAAAGAAAGCACAGAAAGTGACAGCAGGTTTATTAGTAGATTCTCCACACATTCTCCTAACATCTTCCTAAAATCCTAAACAAATGCCAGCTAGGAGAACGCCTAGTCAGAGGGTTGGTGGGCATGCTTTTGTCTTAGTTTTCCTTGCTTTTGGTTGATATTTTGCATCTTGGAGCAGAGTTTGCTGTTAAATAGTTGATAGTCAGGCTTCGGGGACTCTTCCTCACGGGAGCAAAGACTTGGAGTTTGGTGAAAACTAGTCAATCATCTCCCTCTGTGACAGGAAATGAATGTAAAGTGCAACATACTTCATTTTAATCCCCTTAACGATCAAACTGTCTAGTCCTCTAGATCAGCGGTTCTCAAACTTTAGCAACCCAAGGACCCCCCATTTTGATTTTAAAATGTTCATGGACCCCCAAGCCCCCTGCTCAGCCCCAGGCCCCGCTAGGGTTGCTAACTTTCTAACTGCACAAATACCAAACATCCTTGCCCCGCCCCTTCCTCAAGGCTCCAGGCTGGGACCAAGGGGTTTGGAGCGCAGAAGTGGGCTCAGGGCTGGTGCAGGGGTTTGAGATGCGGGAGGGGGTGCTAGCTACAGCTTGGGGCACAGGCTCTGGGGTGAGGCCAGGGATGAAGGGTTTGGGTGCAGGAGGCGGCTCCGGGCTTGGGCCGAGGAGTTTGGAATGTGGGAGGGGGCTCAGGGCTGGGGTAGGAGATTGGGGTGTGGGGTCTGGGTAGGGTGACCAGACAACAAGTGTGAAAAATCGGGGCAGCTGGTGGGGGGTAATAGGAGCCTATATAAGAAAAAGATCCCACAAATCGGGACTGTCCCTATAAAATCGGGACATCTGGTCACCCTAGGTCTGGGAGGGAGTTTGGGTGCGGGAGGGGGTTCCAACCTGGGGCAGGGGGTTGAGTGCGAGGTGTGGGAGGGGTTGGAGTGCGGAAGGGGGTTCCGACCTGGGGTAGGGGGTTGGGGTGCGGGGTCTGGGAGGGGGTTCCGACCTGGCGTAAGGGTGCGGGGTCTGGGAGGGAGTTTGGGTGCAGGAGGGGGT